CACCCGGCTCATGAGCATTGTCCAACCGGGGAACGGCCGCAGCATCATCACGCCGCGGACGAAGCCGATCTGTTGTCCTCAATCATCCACAGGGAATGGGGATGCGGTGCCACCGAGAAGGAGAACTCGGACTCGAGATCCAATGGTGCTAGAGGCGCGACTACCAACGCACCATGTGCCTCGGCAAGACGACACCACAGGGAGCGGACGTAATCGCTCTTTGGGGATGGACCTCGTCGTCCCCCGAAAGCGTGTGGTGGAACTTGTTTCCCCGTCAAAGACCGTGACGCTGCCCCAACAATGTGGGGACAAACCAGCAAAAGTCGCCCGCAACCGAAAGCAAAAGCAGACCTTCAGGGGCCGAAAGTGCACGGCGGAACACGCCTCCCCGCTCAGCCTTCAGAGGTAACTACAGCCTTGATCGAGCAGGAGCAGAACCGCCGCCAGACGCCGGCAACGTCCCAGAACCACGGACCGTGAGCTGCGCGACTCATGAAACACCGGCATGGCGCGGATGTGATCATGGCGACGCCGCCGCGTCTGCCGCTGAACAGGCACCACCCTCCAGCCCACTAAGCAGCGAGCGCGACACCGAGGAAGAAGCGCGCCGCTTGAGAGATTCACGGCCAAGGTTGTCAAACGCCCTTCATCGATCCTCAAAGAGCCACCAAAGCAGCGGGAGCTTGCCAGGGAAGCCGTCGGTGCCAATCCGGCAGATTTATCGCCCGCTCGGCCGGTGGACCATGTCCGGCTTCCAAGAGGGGGGAAATTCTCTGACGCTAAGCCGGGAGTCTCGCCGTGAACGCCGCACCTCCTCGGCATCAAGATGCTCCTTCGACAAGCTCTTCACCGACCTATCCAACAAATGACGCGGAGGCGTTCGATGAGTCGTTCACGAAGAAAGCGAGAGGAAGGGAACACGGGTATGCAAGCGGCGACTGCGCCACCATGGTCCGAGGCCCCCACCACGAAGCTGATCATTGGATCAAGCGGGAGCTCGGGGCCTCGTTTCTGGCGCAAAGATGACGCTGCCTCTCTTCTAATCGAAACTTCGATGTGCTTAATTACAATGTAGTCACCAAACAATTGTCACTGCCGTCTACGGCATTCTTGTAACATAAACCTTCCTTCTTCTAATGCAAAGATACGCACTCTCGTGCGCATTCGCGAAAAAAAAACATAAGACGATAACAGATGAGACTTCAAAGCATCCAACAATGGGAGTGGCTAAGCAGTCTCGTCGAACTGTGACAGGAGGACTTGCTGAAGGATGTTGACTATCTATAATAAACTCGACCGTGCACACTCTCTTGCACCTTTACTAGCAAAATAGAAACTTCTAGCTTATTATATTTGCCTTCGGGCTTGCTTCCATCTCCTTACTCTTCTCTTCTCTCCAATGTTGAGCGTTTGATCATCTTTATGGCCATCACCATCTCCTCCATGGTAGGCTTCTAGCTCAACACTTGAGTATGGACATAACCTAGCTTATACAACACTTAAGCACTTGTTAGTCCACTAGTTGTTACTCAGTTATCAAAACCAAACTAGGGCTTTTAAAAGGCTCGGTGCATCAAAGCACCTCATGCGACAACCAAGGTGCCGGGAGAAGTTACAATCGCACCCTGCTACTAGAAGAAGATAATGTTGTCGGTCCAAATCGGCAAATCAAGGCCCATCATCCCGTTGGGTTGGTGCAAAACTAATTAACTCAGTGGCGCACCACAACCACCTGTGTGACACCCTTGAGGCAAGGCATTCGGCTCCCTATTATGAGATCAAGCAAGAACAGAGTGCTATCACCGCAACGACGACGACTGCGATGGCTGCCGCGATTGCAATGACAACAATGACTGCCATGACAACCACCGTGACCATCGTGATCACGGCCACAACCAAAGTAATGATAGCTATCGCTGCTATATATGACGACTACTGCATCTGTCGCTGGGTTAACAGATCTCTATCTCCGGACCTCGACTACAACGGTTCAAGAGCTTTCGACCCTAGGATCTGAAAAGTTGGCATGTGTATTTTCATTTCAAGATAATTATTATCATGGCATGTGTACGTATTTCATCATCATGACATGTGTTCTTTTTTCATTTCAAGATAATTATTATCACAAGTGATGGTGGTCATGTAGGTTGAAACTCTCTTAAATAAGGTCAAGTAATTAATTAAAATAAGGGACTTGCTAAATCACAAATTAAGGGACTTGCTAAATCACAGGCGCCTGATTTTTGCATTCTTTTCAGACGATGAACATCATCCATCTAGTCTAAATCCAACGATCAGTAATCATTCTCAACACTGACCGAACACCTTCACGCTTGCTGGTAGTCCCATCTTCACTTTCAGGCACCTGTAGGATAGGAAATGTGTTAAATTAATTGTTAAATATTATTTCGAGTAAAAAAATGAAAATAATCCAAATTGGGTACAAGAGTTAAAACTTGACTAATAAATGGAATATGATATAAATCCAACTTAACTAAAAGCAAAAGGAAACAAAGGGAAGGAAACCCATAAATACATGAAATATAAAAGTATTGGTCTATTTAGCCTTCGATTAAATAAAAATTTACTTAAACACTTCAAAATATGGTAACATCGAAAATAAAGTATAAGTTATGCACACTACTAGAGGAGGTGGGCAGGGTGGTGCTCCCTGTTGCCTGTGAGGCTCCTGCCATCCCTGATTCCTAGCCTGATTCTGCAGTGGTGGAAGTTGCGCTCTGGTTGCCACACCCATCTGCCATTGATTCCTGAAGCATAGCTGCGTAAGTCTCCCTCTCGCCTCCTCTACCCCAAATATCCTTCGCAAAGCTGATATCACTGGCGATTTCTTATATCTATCTGACTTGCGCACTGGGAAGCAATCCTCCAGTCTGATATGATTTGATTCAATCAGATCCTTCCGAACCCAGTAGAGCTGGCCGACGGGGATCGTGGTGAAGTCCGAGGTGGTGGTGGTAGGGGAAGGAACCCTAACCCTACCGGGAGGTGGCGGTGAGTCAATTGCCCATAGTTGGATTGCTCAATCACCTCATCTTTGTGGATTTCGCTGCCACCCCGGCCCGACCCGCTATCCTGGACAGGGTAAGATTCGGACCTACCCCATCTCTGACTGGTGGAGAGGAAGACGACGATCTCCACTGACACTTGGACCCTGCTCCTCGCTAGGACCTCATGGTCAGCCAAGGTGGGTGCGGCCATGGCGGTGGTGGATCAAGTTCCCCTCCGGTCCTGCCGTGTGTCCTTCCCTCCCGCGTGTCGGCCATGCCCGTCCAACTATTTTTGGCAGGCTGTTTACATCTACGTGTAGCCAAATCCGCAGGCAGCATATGCCTACTTTTGTAGTTCTGGAATGCCAGACTACCTTTTCTACCAAAAAAATAAAATAAAAATATATATAAACACCACTGAAATGGGCCATTCTCGAAAAGCAGACTTTGTTCCAGTATAAGCGTGAATTCAGAGATTACACGACTCAGGCTAGAACTTGTAGCACTCATGGGGATGGTGCGTCAAGAGAATTTTGAACGTTTATAATGCATGGTAAATTTTAATAAATGTATAAAAGAACTGCGTGTCCATATATACACTAGGAAAATATTGGTTCATATTCCATTCTGACGGGCTTATGGACAACAATGGTGATACAAAATCAGTATATATATCTGTTTTTGCTCTACTCCTGAGTGCAGCTTCCTATATGAGATATAGCCTTCTTTCATGTATATATACCAAATAAAATAATCCAAGGTGTACAATAAGAGAAAACTCTACGTTATCCCTCTTGTCCATAAAATGGCAAGACCTGCACAGCGCATATATTTCGATCACGAAAATTTATCATTAAAATATGTAATATTTCCTCTATTCCAAATTATAAGATGTTTTGGCTTTTCTAAATACATAGGTGTCAATATGCACTTAAATATATACTATGTCTAAATATATAATAAGCCTAAACATTTTATAATTTGGAATTGAGGGGGCAGTAACATGTGAAGTGAAAGAAAAAAAAATCGTATGTACACTTACATCTATTTCAACTTTAACATACTAAGAAACGCAACAAGCCGGAAGAGCACACCGTGGAGCATAATAATGGTGATGCAAAGATTAAATTCGTTGATATCATAGCCCCCTTGGAGCAATGCTCCACATCTAGTGATCAGCCACACACCTGAATACCTGAAGACAAAACTGCGTTAGGCAAAAGATGGGAAAGCTTGACATTGCTTATACAAGTTTAGTAATGGTGGTTGAGTAAGGAAATCGTAGAAGTTCAAAAAAATATTGCACTCCCTTCGTTCCAGATTGTAAGACGTTTTGGCTTTTCTATATACATTGTTTTTACTATGTATCTAGACATAGTGTATATCTAAGTGCATAGCAAAAGCTATGTATCTAAAAAAGCCAAAATGTCTTATAATTTTGAATGGAGGGAGTAATTTAACAATTTTCTTTCTCGAGAAACTCTAACTCCAATTTTTTTCACCAAAGACAAACATACATACACTGAATGACCCAAAGACAATTTGAGAACTAGTTCAATAATTTCAGGTTATATGATGATGACAGTTGAGTCAAAATATAGGCTGTGTAACACCTGAAGTTCGCAAACATGAGATCTTGGCTAAATGTAGTGGTTCATAGCTACTCCCTCTGTTTTTTTACATATCGTAATAGTTATGTCCTAAGTCAAACATTTCTATATTTTACAATAAATTTTTAAAATATTGTATACGTTAGCAACATAAGATTTATGTTTTAGATTCACTATAAGAAATACTTCCATAATATACAGTTCACATGTTGTGAAACTACATGGATTTTTTAAAACTGATGGTCAAAGTTAGGAATGTTTGACTTAGGACAAACCTAATAAGACATGTAAAAAAACGGATGGAGTAGTGTCTTTTGAATGTGAGAATTCTGGACTTTTTTCTTGTGCATGAATAAACAAGGCGATCATAATAGTTTTCCTGCTATGCACACATTTGATTAACAATGCCATAAACAAGTTCTTTAACTACAGGATAACAGGATGACTGCTGATTAAAGAAACAGAATACTAACTCTTTTGCTCCTGCAATGATGAATGCTTCTAGAGCCCACTTTGGATAGCACAATTCCCTTATAACCCGCGGAAGGTCTGGTTTAGCGCCCACCAGGACCAGCACAACAGGTACTATTGCAGAACTCTGCAACAGTATAGTTCATTAGCCACCTTCTATACAGTTAATATCATGATTACAAAAAAAAAAGATGCCCTACTTACCAACTGCGCTAATCCGAGCTCAAACCAAATAGCAAAAGTGTAACCTATGCCGGTTACACAATAAATTAGGGCCAGCAAAACCAAATAATTGTCTCTAAGAGTCGACCGAGGGTTGTTGAAGAAATAAAATGTTGAAAGAAAGATGATTGGCTTAACGGCAGTATTGGAATGATCAATAGTATCTCTTGCAAGAAAGTAAGCTAGAGAGCTCATGCCGGATTGTCTCTCCCTCCAATATTGCAATTTTTCAGGTGAAAATGACCGCAATGACGCAAGCTGGCATAACAGTGCTGCAATAAGCACATTAACATTAGCTAAAATGTTACTGTAACACATCTTACAGGGGACAAAAATTCCATTGTAATTATAATCAATAGATTGGAAAAAGGGATAAACTTTGCTAAAATTTTCTGTGACTGAATTAACAATTAAGACTTATGGGGTTATGGTAGGATTCCCATTGTCAGACAGTGCACTGTTATGAACATGAGTTTGGCTGTGACTTGCCTATTGCTAATTGATGAGTTGTTATAGTTAATAAAGAGAGTGAATAGAGGCACATATTGGAAAAGGAAAGAACAGAGATACACAGCCATGGACAGAAAAAAGGTATTAGTTTGTCTTTTTTCGCTTGTGCTTGTATTATATCTGATAAACATGTTATCCTGAAAATCGTGCATTTAAAAGTGTCATAGCCACTATCAGCTCGTGAAATATACATATCTTGGTGAGTGGGTGTGTCTTGTATGGGTTCCTTTCCCATTTTTTCTTCTTAATATAATGATGCACAGTTCTCCTGCGTGCTTGAGAAAAAAATATACATATCTTATAGCTCCTGTTTCAATGTTGTATTGTTTGCTAGGGAAAAAAGTTCACTTTTGGACCCTGGCTAGTCTATACTGAACAAAAAGCATAACATTAGTTTATTGAAAACAAATTCAACTTCCACAATATCTTCGCTCTCCAACCACCTCAAGTAAATATGACAAGCAAAGATGCAAGAGGAGGAGACATATTTTTCAATTTTAATTCAAATTAGAGAAGTTCTAAGTCGAGATAGCAATGTGAGAAGAGGTAGAGGAAGACCAAAGCTGACATGGGAGGGGGCAATTAAAAGAGATTTAAAGGGTTGGGATATACCTAGAGATCTTTGTTTGGATAGGAGTGCTTGGAAAACAGCTATTGACGTGTTCGAACCGTGACTAGGGGCTCATGTTGGGTTTCAACTCTAGCCTACCCCAACTTGCTTGGGACTAAAAGGCTTTGTTGTTGTTGTTGTTGTAATTCAAATTAGAGAAGCATAATTACAATGATATTGATATATCATGAAAGATTAAGACCTGTGATAGAAGTTAGTTTATGTTTACTAAAAGCTATTGATAATTTTATAGGATCTCCATAAGTCTATCGTAACCACTTTTTTCACAACAAAGCAGCCTTTTTTGTTCCTTTGATAGTTTATGTAAATTTACTAATCTGGAAACAACAAAAGATGCTGACTTACAAACTGCCATTATGGTATATCCATAAGAAGCTACACCGAATGAATCATCTCGAACTCTAGCAATTGTCCCAATGCATATGCCAGCAATACACAATATTAGGTAATCAACGGCCTGCTGTGTAGCTTCACGCAACCGTTGCTTTGCTACCCTGAAACATTTTGACAGTATAGTCACAGATTGATTCACAAAACATGCGGGAAATATCACAGAAAACAATTTACCTCCCCAAATAGTATCCAGACAGCAAACACACCAGGTGTTTTCCTTTCCAGTAATTCATTTGATTGACTCAGATTACGGGTGCACAGAATCTGTATTTTCTGACTGTTCTTCTGAAGACTGTTCGCTAATGGACCGAACAGTATATAACTCACGAATTGTATTGATATTCTCAAGGTCCTTCTGCAAATCATCTGGAACTTCATAACCATTATGTAGCATCCAAAGGAGTGGCAAGTGTTTAGGAGTGACATTTCCCCTCATTTTTGTCTTTACTATTCCCTCTAAAATGTCAATGAAATAGTCTGGAGGATTCTCACGGCCTGGCACCTTGATCCCCAGACCTGCGAAGTACGTTTCAACTTCATATATAGGTCCATGATAAGCAATAAGGCCACCTCTTGCCAAAAGGACAAAGTCATCAAACATGTTGAACAAAGTATAGCTGTGTAAAACATTAACAATTGTCAAGCTTATATGTCAATAAATACAAAAGGAAGCAAAGAAAAGATTATTTAAGTTTTTAATTCAGCCCTTTTTGGGTATCCGATCACATGTATTTTCTGAGCACTAGAATGTATGTGGATGTTTTTTTTCACAAGGTGTTAGCACGAACTAATAGGTGATCTCAGACAAGGAATGCAAAGCTTTTTTCAGGCCCATTGACCAATGGATGTTACAGATATTTATTGGAAAGCTTTGCACGCAAGCAGAATCGATTTTAGTTGAAGATAGGGAGGGAGCACATCAATTCATACTGAAAGGAGACAAATTGATGATTTAATGTTTACGACATACCTTGGTTGGTGAACCACTGCACAAACATTTACACCTTCAAGTGCTTCATGTCGAAGTGCCCTTAGAAGTAGCTGAGAGGAAGCACTGTCTAAGCCTGTAGTTGGCTCGTCTAATATCAGAAGAGATGGTTCCATAACCATTTCAATCCCAACATTAACACGCTTCCTTTGTCCTCCGGAAATGCCCCGCTTCTCCACTGTCCCAACAAGGGAATTTCTAATTTCTTGAAGCCCTAATGATTCAATAACCCGTTCAAGAACCCTAACCTTATCAGATCTTGACATGCCTTTGCTTAACCTATTCCACAAAATAATACTGATTGTTATAATAAACGATTTACTTTAGGAAGATACAAAACAATATATATGGAAAGAGTTACTGGGATCAACTACATTGCATTTTTTTTCCTTGAACGACGAAGAGCTGTGTGTCATTTCATTAAGAGAGAAAGAAGTACAAAGGAGAGGCAAAGCCTGCTCCAAGAGAGACCCCTGATGCAGGTACAGACGTCCTGCTCCAAGAGAGATCAACTACATTGCATTTCTTTTATACTGACATAGCAAACACATAAGGCTATTCAGGTCATCACATAGGCACATACTCGCTGGTCAGAATTAGATGACATTTTGGACAGCTAATTTGACCTGCAATTAGTTAAAATGTGCTGTCGGAAATATCAACTATATCTGGTGGAGGTAGTAATCGATTCAAGCTTAGAGCTATGTAGCATGACTACTTTATGCATCTAAAGACAGGAATGAAATTTAAATACTGATCATATACCTTTTTCAAAAAACAAATTATGATATCTCTAAAACAAATGAATATTGTGTCTAACATGTGGCATGGATCAACCATGAGAAACAATATTATTACAGCATGCGATCAGGTCTTCTCTCTGTTGATAAGCCATGAAATGCTATTTCATTGTTTCTTATGGCAAGTTTAAAAAATGAACATTGCAAGTTAAAAAAAAACGAGATCCAACCTAGTATGAACTAGGCGGTTTTTCATTAAGAAGAACATTGCAAGTTAGAAACTCCCTTACAGGGAAAAATTAATTAAAACTAGTTGTACTTCTTGGCACTGCCAAAGGTAATAGTAATAAGTTTTTTTATAAAGGTTGTACTAAAACAGATTAGTGGAACAGAAAAGGAATAGACTCAGAAAGCAATTAAACTTTGTGTTTTCTAACAAATACCTGCAACATGAACTAAACCACAGATTTTCCTCGACAGTCAGGTTCCCATGGACAATATCATCTTGAGGCACAAAACCAATGATCTTCTTATATGACTTCATTAATCCAGGTAACCCATTTATAAGGACTATCCCATCCTTCTTGTACCCAGACGTTTTACCTAATACAGCATTGAGAAAAGTAGTCTTTCCTGCTCCAGAAGGGCCCATGATAGCTGTTACCCTACCTGGTGAAAGTTTTCCTGTAACACATTGCAGAAGTTTCTTTTTTCCAATAGATAGTGTTAGACCTCTGAAAGCCACTTCAAGTGTTGGCCTTCGTGGCCTAATTTCAGTAGCTAGAGACACCACTCCAGAGAATGTTAATTTATCATTGTTTATCTTCATAGCTCTATCCGTGTCTGCCTGATTATATGCACGTCCGAACCTTTCAGTGGGAACCTGAGTTAGATATCAATAATTTTTGGATTTGTTAGCATTAGCTTCAGTGCCATTTAGAACTCCAGCGGATGATGTAGCCGATTGCTCAGGTGTATTGAAAGACTCAGGCATTTCTTACCTCATGCCGAAGTACAAGTTCTTTTGCTAATTTCCATCTTTCACGTGCTGCGGCTGATTTATCTGCCCTTTTTGCAGCCTTTTTACGAGATCTAGATGACATTTTTACTTGAAGTGAAATGAATAGGCCAGAGCAGTTGTACACCAGTAGCAAAACAAAGCCCAAGATAGCCTGCAAAGAAGATCAGAAGTACAAAAGGAGTATTATTAGAAAAACATAATTAAATAATGAAACATCCTTGCCAACAATTAAGAGAAATATGTGACAAAGATATATTACATATCCAAGCATTACAATGAGAATAATTCATAAATCCTATTTTCAAGTGAAACTAGAATAATACCATGACGCATTAGCCATTAATTTCCAACTAGATAATACTTTTATAGTTTTATGGATCAAAGAGTATTAGTTTATATGCAATAAAATGTTGCTAGAAAATGTTCCTCAGTAAGACAAGAATACTTGTAATGTTGTGATTCTTGGGCATTAATCCCAAGTCTAACAAAAAATATATATGTGCATCACATGAGTACAAGTTAGTGATGTACCAGTAACAGAATGTTGCTAAGAAAATATTTCTCAGTAAGACAAGATGTTTTGGAAATAAAATTGATATACATTTTATATGTAAAGTCAAATTATGGCTACAGTATAGAATAACAACACTTTTAATCCCATGATGAGGTTGTCTGAAACAGTATTCAGTAAGAGTATAAGATTTAAAGCATCACTTTTGCATACTCCATTGGAGTTGTGGGTGCATATATCAATTTCGAAGTCTCAGACAAAAATACAGCACTTAAAGACAAAAAAAAGGGAAGACAACGTGGACAGACATGCTACTTACAATTAATATAATGCCATATAAAGTCAAATCTTCTTTTATCGCATTATCCTTGCAAGTGTTTTTCCAAAAGCACTCTGCAAATATATGTGCCATTACTAAAGATCCATAAACACATTCAATAGATTAAATAATGAAAACTGTAAATCCCTACAGTTTGGACAAAGTATTGCAACACCATTCCCTATCACATCAAGTCTTTGACATGACGGACATCTGGACTATGCAACATTTAATCAAAAGAAGGTAGTTTAAACCATAAAACTAAAAACTGGCACGACTTTTGCATTTAGCAGCCACTGCAAACCACTGGTTAGGATTTCAGGTACTCATTCTGCTCTAGAAGAAATGTTTGTGCTGGAATCATAAACAAAACTTGATGGATCATAAGTTAGAACAAAAGGAAGTGTAGTAGGCAAGTAATAGTTCTAAACTGTTGCTTCTAAATGAAAATTGTTAAAAAAAGATATGCATACTCTTTTCATCGGTGGAACCTTTGCGGCAATAGTGCCTGCACAATACAAAGTGACAAATAACAATTAGCAACGGAACAAAATATCACCATAATTATGGATAATGGCATGTAAGAAAGAGACAGTACCCGCTGCTGCAATTGTATTTCTGGGTTGTGGTTGGACAGTAGTGCCCTGGAGGGCAGAAGACATCATTAGTTGTAACAATATCAGCCCAAGAATCTGCTGTACCACATGCAGTGTTCTTTCCTGGAGTTACTTGGTAAAAATACCTGGTATAGTTTCAGAAGGAAAAGAAAAGTCAAGTAGTCAAGTGCTGAGAAAAAATTATGAAGAATATTAAATGACAAATAAAGTGTTGGAAATGAAAAATCATCTTACGGATCACAAAGGCCAGTAGTGTCATTCAATGTCCCAAGAGGACAATAAGCACCCAAAGGACAAGCTGGAAAAAAGTTGAGAGTGAATTCAAAGCAGGTCAGCAGAAACAACCATGAATGCCAAAAAATAGAGTGGTGAATAATTATAGAGCGAAGCATAATCTTGAGAGATAGAACAAGTTCAGGAAAAATATTTCACATATAGTCTCAACTAAAATGTTTTCCTCATTTGTAATTGTGAATACATCGCCTTAATGCATCGAAAGTTTAAAACAAACAAAGGATTTACTTTTTGCATATTAGAACTTTCCTCAAGAGAATTTGAACAATGTTCGAATTAATAGGGCCTCCCACAATATAATACCATTGGTTTTATGCAAAATGAATCCAGTATACTTGGCTAGGTTTGTTCAAAGAAAACTTACGCATCATGCATGTCAGGCCCTGGGGGCAGAAGAAACCCGGACAACATGGCCTGCAGCTCTCTGCTCTTAGTGGAAACGATTCAGCGGATGATTCATCAGATGGTTCAGTGCCCGGTAACATGCAAGCCCAGCCGGGCTGGCACCCGAGTGCCCATGAGTTTTGGTTGCAGTTCAGACTTATCCTGGGGTTACTGCGACTGCTAAGCGCCAGCCAAGCTTTTGATGTATAACTGTATTTCAGCTGTCCCACACAGCATTGAGGTCATTTGCCCTGCACAGATAACCGCTTTTATGAAATATTCATGAACACCTGCTTTAAGAATCCTAACGGACAGGACAGTAGCTCAATTCAGCCTGTAATGAAAATATGCACTACTTCATTAAATATTAGGCATGTTTCATAATACTCCCTACATTCCAAATTATGGTTCACTTTAGCTTTGTCCTAAGTCAAATCTCTAACTTTGACCAACTTTTTAGAAAAGGATATTAACTTTCAAGTAAATGCGCAGAGAATTTACTAGCTGGAGAATAAAATGGAACTAGTTTGGTGTTATAAACATCCGTGCATTTTTCTATAAACATAGTTAGTAGAGAAGTTCGACTTAGAAAAAAGCTAAAGTGAATTATAACTTGGAACGGAGAAAGCAGTAAAACAAAGCAAACGGTAGTGCTAGTTCAGAGGGTAGAATCTTCCATCAGCATTTTAATGAAAGCTGAGTATTGGTATCTCCTGCTCATCAGAAATTCAGCATAAACAAAAAGTCCCAAAACCAATTGCATACTTTTGCAAACCACCTAATCCCTTCTCCAGTTTCTACCGCCAAATGAAGATGAACAGATCCTGCGAAGTGCAAACCCCTCAAGCATTCGACCTGCGAGTTCCTCTTCTACTACGAATCCTAAATAGCTGGTGCATATGCAAACTCCCGATTGGACACTCAGGTGTCCATTCACAACAGGAACAACTTAGCAAAGCGGCCGCCAATTGCGGTGGCGTTAACCCCAACCCTGCTCCTAAGAATGAAGGGGAGGGGATCGGTAGTTGGGTTCGAGCAAGCATACCGCAGCATGCAAGAACCCTCCGTCATGCCCCTAGTCTCGACCACGGGCTCCGCACGGTGCGGCTGGAGAACGGACGGGGCGGCGCTGGCCGCGGCGGCGGCGCCCTCGGGTGGGGCGGCGAGAGGAGGCGGAGGCGTCATTTCGGTGTCCCTGTAAAGCTGGCCCCACTTGGCAGTGATTCGAAAAGGCGCAGCTGAGGTTTTTATGCTTTGCTAACCGAAATACCTCATGGTCAGCGAACGAACAATGTTTTTTTCTCACAATAAATCAGCATAAGCCAAATTTCAGTGAAATGAACAGGACAATTTGTACGAAGAGTTTCAAACATGGAGTTAATTTAAGTTGAGTTTCGCCATTTCAGTTTATTGTACTATTGTCTCTTCTACTGTACACACATTTCCAAACACATCGAACATGTGTACGGGGCATGTGTCCTTAAGTGAAAAAAAAAGTTCGCCTCGCAAGGAGCCAACACTCCAAATGGGATTTCTCGTACCATATATGTATACTATGAATGGATCCTAAAATGCTCAAACCCAAACACGTTCGGCTTACCTCATATCCGGTTTATTCGGCTTCTTTTTTCAGCCGGAACAGTATTTTTCAGCCAAGATTCAGCAAGCCGAACGGACCATATACCCCTCGCATGATAATAATTCAAATAACTACACAAACTGATTATACCCTGCTGTAACTCGGTCAATGTTTGTATTTGTACCTCTGGTCTGCTCCATGCAGTCGGAGGCGAAGCTGGGGTCGGAGGTGTAGTCGAACGTCTGGTTGAAATCACTTTGCCTGCAGACTCATCATGGAGTGTTGCAACCTCCAAATCAATTTCCATGGACCTACCGACTCACCCACTCACAGATTGATGCATGGCATGGAACTAGGAAGGAAACGGCCGGGAACAAGGCAACGTACGCGTCAGCCATGCAGAAGCCGTACTTCTTCTGCAGCTCGGCGGTGAGCCTGTCGCTGACGGGCCGGAGCTCCTTCTCGAGGTCCTGCGGCTGCAAGACCGGCAGCGGCGGCGCGCCCTTGATCACCTGCGCGATCGGCGGCGGCGCGCGGTCGATGACGCCCGGTGGCTGGCATCGCGCCGGGCGGAGCAGCGACAGCTCAATGGCGGCGACGACAGAGATGAGGAGGAGGAGGCAGCTGGCCCGCATGGCGGCTACCTGCTAAGCTAGCTAGCAGTCAACCACGGCGCAATCCATCGAGCGGGGACGACGAAATATAGTTCGCATCGAGACGCGGTAGTGTGTTGTTTACGTGCGCTGTGCCAATGCAAGACCGGGCCTCTGTCGGACACGGTCAGGTAGAGGTGCCTGCATACGAAATTTCGGATGGTGGTGCCCAAGCTTATCTGAGCCAGTCTTTCACTTTGACTTTCGTGCTTGTTTTGTTTGCAATCGACACACGAGGATTCAGCAGTTTCAATTTTATTATATCTATATCTATATCTATATTTTATTAAAAACAAAAATGTCTTCTTCGTTTTATTATTATTTTTACTTCATAAATGCCCTCATGCCATCCGTGTTTTATATGTGATACAGACTTAACACTCGTACTTAGTATATATTAGTACAACTCGCGTTCAACGATAATCCGAAGTCTAATTGTAAGATATATTAGATTCCATTACAACATATAGGTACATATGTCTCTTAGACACCTTTTTGTACACCTGTCTCTTTCTTTAACAAAGTCCAGTAGGGACGTGTCCCTCTTGTGTTGCCTAAAAAAATATACGTTTGCTAGTTATATATTGTGAGTCCTATACATACATAAGTGAGCGGCATGGTCCTTCCTGCACGTGTGTCTTCAACTGTATTCAACGGAGTAAAACGTCTGAACTTGCATAATAAATCATTAAGGCAAACACGAAAATTCTACCAAGTTTCTCAACGAAGGCATGTTTGTTCAGCTAGAGCTTTATATATAGTCCGTAGCCGATTTAACTGACTTGCCGAGAATTGTTTACAGATCCACCTACTGTACATTAGTTCCTACCAGATTATGTTACTCACCGAGGCTAATCATAAATATAATGCATGGTCCACATGCAAGTGAGATAAAAGAGGAGGCTATAAGCCAAAAGCAGCCCTTATATTAGGCTTTCAGTTCTTTTATTTACAATCTATATCTTCTTACAAAACCAGCTTCAAGCCACCTCTTTTGTAATCCCTGGCTAAAACAAAATACAGCTAAGTTAGTTGAACAGAAATAATTATTTATACAGAGTTTAGATTGTTTGCTTTTCATTCATAATTAAGTTTTTTTTCCAACGACATGATATGGAGCAGAACAAACCAAAATGCACAAAAGCGTGCTGGAGCTAGCTGTGGGAGTATGCCAGGCATTTGTATTTACTCAACAGCATAGGGCCATCATAAGGTATCATGAAAATATTGGTCTCACTGCGGACTGTAGTTGGGTTTTTTTTAACCTGTTCACTATTCTTTCAGTGAAAGACGATGTGATACGCACTTGGTGATTTTGTCAATCTCAATATATGATGGCTCAGTCTCAGTCCCAGTCTTTTGAAGATGCTCGTAGAGGTAAGATGTGTGTATTCATAAGATTGAGTGTATGTACATATATGAGTGTTTGATTCACAAAAAATATGGTCTAATTAAATACTACACTAGTCTATGAACCCATGATACTAATAATTTTAATAGACATAGTACGGCGAGAAGCATTTTTAGAGACGAGCATTTACAGGGGTGATCGCTTGCCCATCGCATCCCTACCACTACACTATAAACTTACTTGTAAGTGAGTATATGATGTTATTATCTTATATTTCATAAAGTGAAGACTGAATATATTTGACCGCTAATTGATTTAAATAAAAAATTCAAATATAAAGTTTTAGATAATGTGAAACACTATAACTTTGCTATAGGACATGTCTTCATTCGAAATTGTTTGAAAAAATCGAAAATTTGATTCGAAAATTATGAGAATTTAAAGCAAATACTTGAAGCTCTAAACGACATCAAATAAAAAACTTTTTAACTACAATATTGTAGATAGCATTGAGCACTACATTTTTTTATTGAACCTGTCAACATTAAAGGTCATTTGGAATATTTAAAATTTTATTTTCAAAATATAAGAATTATGAATCTATATTTGGGACTCCAAACAACCTAAAACTTTGGTGGAGAACATGTCAACATCTGAAATCATTCAAAAATTCTAAATTAAATTTCAAATTTTGAGAAATTTAAACAAATATTTGGGACTCGATACAATTTAAAATAAAAAACATGTTAACTATGAATTTGTAGATCATATTATTCCGTACAATTTCGATATATAAAATCCACCTTCATCAAACTTCATATGTAAAAAATTATAAATTATTTTTAATGCATCTATTTATAAAGATATGTCTCTCAAGAGTGTCACCTCTGTTAATAGCCATTTCAAAAGTGGACATCTTGAAAAGTTCGTCTCTATTAATCGATTAACAAAGGCAAGTGTTGTAAGGTAACCATAAATAATCAACTAATAGAGGAGGTTGTTTGCCTCTGTAAATGATTATTTTTAGCAGCCACCTCTGCAAATAGTCACCTCTGCAAATTGTATCTCCATGTGTGCTTGATATACATTTAGTGGAAACCTTAGTTAGGCATGAATAGCTAATTTAGATGTTACTTTAGATTCTTTTAATAGTGTTGGAAGTAGGTAATTTATGTGAAATTTTGGGTAGTTAATTTAGATTATTTTTTATAATAGCATAGATGCGTAGTTTAGCTGAAAGAGAGTATTTTAAATTATTTTCATATTTTATAGTGATAGCTGTGTAATCTAGATACAATTTTATATTTGACGGATTTGAGTCTACTATAAAAAGTGTTTGAAGGATGTTTCTATTCTTTTTTTAGAATCTTTAGAATTTAGTAATTTATTTCTAGCACTCTCATTCTCTCATGAAAAGTAACGTGGAGGCTCTACTAAAAACATGGTGATAGAAAATGTGGGTACAAATGAAAGTCTATTGGAAGTGCGTGTCACGATCCTCGTTGCACGAGTGTTTTCACCTGTATGCACGCCCCCGTCAAACAGCTTGGCTACCGGTCCGGCCGGGTACGTACTTTGGAATTGGATAAATAAACAATGGAGAAAGAGGCAATTCGGTGAAGGTTCTTGATCTTTAGCCGCCACAGGTATAATGTGTTTTTTATGGAGTTGGCCGTTGTTGTTGAACGAGCTGACGATACCAGAGGGAAGGTACAGAGAACTTGAAATTTTTGTATTTTGGTCCTTTTTAAAAACATTTTTTATAAATAACCCTCTGGCGAAACATTTTTTTGGAATAGACCAAACACTCTGCGAGTTAGGACATAACGTCGTGGTCTGTGCCTCAGCGCAGTGTCAGTTGACGCCGAGGTACCGCCACGTCAGCGCTGACTCTAGTCGTATTATTTACCGTGGCACTGGGGTCCGCAGAGCTCGGCGTGGGCTTAGTTAACGCCGAACTCCATACCACGACGCGGCCCGATTCAACACCGAGGTCTGAACACATAAGGCCGCACCACGGCCCCCCTCACTAGGGCCCGTAGATCTCGGCGTGGGCTTAGTTAACGCCGAAGCCCATACCTCGTCGCGGCCCGATTCAACGCCGAGGTTTGGGCACATGAGGCCGCACCGCGGCCCCCTTCTTCCTCCCTCCCTTCATTCTTCTTCTCTGTTGGGCGCGGCTCCCTGTTGTCTCTCTCTCCCATCCACCCTCAACAAACCCTAACTCCCAAATGCTCCTCTAGGCGGCCGGATCTCGCCTGTCGACGGTTCCCCGAGGTAATGCTCCTTCCCCTCTTCCAATCTGTCTGCATAGATTTACTTGCATTGTCTCTAAAATTGTGGAACCGTGGGGATATGTTGCTATGGTATTTTTGTAGATATATTTGTGTAATGTATGACTTAGTTTGATTTGGTAGGTCGTTTGAGGTCTATTTTTTAGGTTGTCCTTGTTAAATATTGGTTAGTTTGCCTAAGAGTTGTTAAATTGGCATTATGGTTTCATGTTGATTGTTGTACAAATTACTATTGTTAATTATTTGGTGTATGCTATAATTGTAGTAGGCACCAGTGTGTTAATTAATACCTAATGGTAAATTTAGTTAATTGTTTTATTGATTTGCGTATTACTTATGTCCGATTTGTTATTAGTTCGGCTCTGATTGAATGATATTAACTTGATATGTGACAACATTTGTTGTGTGATGGCTGTAGATGGATAAATTAGTGAGGTTGCATCATAGAGTACGTGTTGTTAGGACAAGAGATGATAGTGTTGAATTTGAGGACATATTTGAGGATGTGTTGATTTTTTCTGAGTCACCTTCTTTGACCCAGTTAGTGGACCGAGTGAAAGTAAGGTTAGGTTGGTCCGAAGGAGACGTGCTTGTTCACGTCATTGATGTTGTGTCATGTAAGGGTCCACGCATCAAGAGGTTGCTCAAAATTACAAGCGAATCTGAATGGAATGATTACAAGGCAGTTGTGTTGGCCTCCGAAGTGCGATCTTTGGATTTGGTGGTAACTAAGGAGTATGGCATAGGAATTGAGAACATTGAAGCATGCCCAAAATTCGATGCTCGCATAGAGAATGGTCCTTCACTAAAAGAAGAAATAGTTCTCACACAACCAACCTATGGTGGTATTGAAGGGTTAGGATCGGCCGAAGGAGATGAAGGTTGTTGTGACGGCGTCGAAGATGATCACGACAATGCGGGAGCCGATGGTGATGACAATTATGGCAGTGATGATGGTGATAAGTCTTATGGAGTTGGTGAGGGAGAAGAAGCTTTGGACGACGCTAGCGGAGATGACTTAATTGATGATGATCTTAGTGACGAAGCTGATCTTAGTGGCGAAGATGACTTTGGCAATGCTAGGGCTATGAACCGGTTTGATATGGATGTAGCTAGAGATGATGAAACCTTATAGAGGAATTAGCTGAAGACTCTGGCGACGATCATCCTGTTCATCGTCTCGATGATAGGAAAATAGAGATATTGAGGAGGGTGTTTCCTAGGAGGGATCCACTAGTTCCTAATTTCGAGGACCTTAGCCATGGGCACAGGGCAGTAGCTGATGGAGTACCAAGTGATACAACAGTACCTGATGTTAGTGGTTGCAACATCATAAG